TTGCTGCAGAAAAGCTTTTAGAAATTTAGGTTTCATGCTTCGTACGGTTCGAGGGTTCACGAACGTGAAAGCCATCATTGCTCTCTATAATGCGCTGGTAAGAAGCCAGCTAGAATGTAACGCAGTCATCTGGTCTCCACATGAAGCTAAATATAGTCTCATGCTAGAGAGAGTACAAAATAAATTTATTAGATATTTATATAGCAGGTATTATGGTGTCTATCCATTTTATCCGTTAATGTATCCTACCTTATTTATATTAGGTATGGTGGGATACAACGAGTTGAGGGTTAGGAGGGATTTGACAATGACTTCGTATTTATTTCAAATACTGAGGGGGAAATTACATAACATTATTATTTTAGGGCAGCTGAGCCTGTGTGTTTCCGACAGATACGTGTGGCGTCGAAGGCGACCACGTCTGCTGGTGGAGCCGCGCGGTCGGACCAACCTGCTGGGGGAGGCGCCGCTGACGCGTGCACTTCGCACTCTTAACCTGATTGCTGAGGAGACGGACCTATTTTGGTGTACTCTGGGTGAATTCACAAGGAAGGCATTATTTATAATAAGTTATAAGTGATAGTTTTGTTTTTTAAGTTAGGATAAGCGCATTTATCGCATTGGGTATTGTACCTGTAAAGATAAATGTAAGGTGAAGAATAAATAAATAAATAAATAAATAAACTTTCATTATGTTAATCCACAAGACATCGTCAAAGCTTTTAAATCTACACATGTAAATAAAATTTAAGATGTCTGGGGCATATCGAGTAAAGTAATAGAATCAGTAATTAATCTAATTTCCCCACACTTAGTTGTTGCATTTAATAGACGCGGTGACGAAGGTATTTTTCCCCGTATTTTTTTTAAGCGGTAGGAAAATTGATCCCTGTAACTATAGGCCCAATTCTATTGTGCCAGCTTTAAGTAAAATATTCGAAATGATTATGCTGACTCAACTGCTGTCCTACTTCAGTAGGAATCATATTTTTCAAGGTGAACAATATGGGTTTACTAGCGGCAGATCGACTAGCGATGCGGGGTAGCGCTACTAAACAAATATTTAATGCTTGGGAAAACAACGACTGAGACGCTAATGGGGTTTACTGTGACCAAAGGTGAAGAAGGTTGATTATGTGGACCATTATTACTCTTCTTAGGAAGCTGAAATATTACGGAGTCAAAGGCAAGTCATTGGAACTTGTCTCATCAGTCTCAGTGGTAGAATTCAGAAAGTAGACTAGATGGAGTGACTTCTTTGGGTTCTCCGATAAAAAAGGGTGTTCCACATGGCTCAATATTTGGACCTTTCTTATTTCTCATTTATATTAGTGATCTGCCATTCTTTGTTAAGGACCTTAGCGAAATAGTATTGTTTGCTGATACATCCTTAATTTTTGAAACAGGCAGACATGACGTTAACTATGACCGTATTAACGCTACCCTCTCAAAGGTAGTTCATTGCTTTAATACTAACAATTTATTGCTTAATACCAAGAAAACAAAGTGTGCCAAATTTCAATTAAAGTAAATGTACCAGTTTTTGACACGTCTGCATTTTTTTTTAAACAGATATTTATATGCACAACTACAAAACCGTGTTAAATGTACTAGTAATGGTACATATGAATTCCGTTTAGAAGCTTTCTTCGTTTCACTCTATATTTTTTCAACAAAGCGATTGTTTTTGCGAACAGGTGATTCGAGTTGAATGTGTGTTTTGTGTGAATTTTGAGTAGTTTAAGAGCATTTATTAGTCTGAAATTTGTTAATTATAGGGTAGTGTTTATTAAAACTATTATATACTGTACAAACAATTTTTTTGTGTGTATTTATTGATATACATATAAGGTTTATATTTAATTTTACTGTCATGTCAAACACTGGTACAAAATTTCCATGTTTAAGAAACTGACACCCATGTCAAGCACTCGTACAAATGAATATTTTTTAAGACTTCATTTCGACTTACATTTGGTAAGAACGGAACGTAGGTTTGTATTACTCTGTTAGTGGCAAGTTTCTATGGGTCGTTTGAGTAGTGTTTGACATGGGTGGCAAGGACAGTAAAACATTACTATGGGGACCCGATGCTTGACAGTCGTACGTTGAGGTGGGAAACTCTAGGACGTAACTAGCATCAATTTTGGTTGTGTAGTAGTTAACTAGTATCAGGTATTGTACAATGAGAAAATGCCACCACATTATTCGGAAGACGACTGATGAAATGTCTCGAGCAATTCCTATCGCTGCTAGATGAAAACATTTTTTAATGTTATTTAAAACTGAAAAAAATATGTTTTGATCGTGTGACATTGTTCTTTTATTAATTTATTATTATAAAGTAATCAATCCAGTCAAATAATCTATGAAATCTTATATAACATCCTGTCAAATACTGGTACTCTGATCTTACTTTGTCATAGTCAACTATTGGGCCAGCAGTCTGTCATTTGTTATTTTTTTCAATTTTTTTTTGTTTGTCATCACAATTTTAGAGGTTGCGAAATCTGGAATGTTTTAATAATGCTATGCTATCATTATTTAAAATTTCATAGTTTGTAGAAGATAAATGGCAAACCGTTTAATATGTTTACATTCCTAGGCAGTCAGTATAAGTGATAATTAAGTACTTTTTGAGCAAAACACGAGCTATTTCGTCTAAAAGCGTCAACCACTGGAATATTTGCCTTTTACCTAAAGGAACATCGACTAGTCCAAATATAGAATTATAATATTGAGAAAAGTCAAACATTGTCTAATAAAGCAGTCTTCTTGGAAGTGTAGATAGTAAACTTCAATGGTTTCCGCATATAATCTTCCCTGGTCAGCAGATTAAGCTCCTCTGCATACGCAGTCCGCAGAAGACGTGAGCTACCCGATGTTCATACTGCTAGAATAGTTTACTTAGTTACTTCCATAGTCCAATGTCCTACGGAATTGTCATGTGGGTTAAAACGGCATATGTACAAATCATATTTGTGTTGCAAAAATGAGCGATTCTGTGTATCGTTTAGGTTTCTTGTTCTCTCAGAAAAAGGTATAAGGAAACTGGTGCCATGATTGTGGCATCACAGTACATTTACTTACTCATATCTTTTGTATACCCGTAAAAATATACATAATTTCATTAAGAAAGAATATATCCATAATATTAACCTTAGAATTAAGTCCAAGCTCATGGTACCACGGTTCCTTTTAACCAGATATATGTGTTTTATGGGGAACTGTATACGTTTTTACATAAGATTCCGGAGCATATATTAAAATTATCATTTCCTAAGTTTAAAACTTACATTAAAAGTGTTTTAATTGAAAAGTCATATTAGAAAATTGAAGAGTATGTGTTAGATAAGTATGCATGGTAAGACTGTGGTACACCTAACTTCTTCTTTCGATGAAAAAAAAAATGAAAATGACACGTTCAACTACGCGATTTGTCGTACATTATTTATGTAATTTATATGCGTTCGTATAGGTATTTTATTCTTATTATTGTTGACATTAAATTGACAACGATAACTAATTTTATTTTTGATGTATGAATGAATAAATCTGATTTGTTATAGTTCAACTGTTCTTTCATCTACCATTTTCCCCGCTATAGTGAGGTCTGCCTGCGTAGCTCATTTCCAATACGTATAGTCTGTTACGTCTGTCCACTGAACTATGGTACCGACGCTCTTTGACAAAATCAATCAACATGTTCTTGTCTGTAGATTGGAGTCGTTGGAGGAATCGAAATTGTTCTTACGTCCCATTCCTTTTCTTTAGACAAGTGGTGTTTAACGTTGGCGTTACCGTTCACAGACCATGAATTGAGTGGAGCACCCAGTCGGGGGACTCTATGTAATTTACTATTTCTTCTAAAAAAAAAAGAATAAAAACGAAAAGAGAACTTTGATAACCACGAGCTCGTAGTTTGTTTTCAGTCGCAAACTTAAGCGTACCAGTGGATTACTGCCAAAAACATGAAGCTCTGACGTTAATATCCAAATCAATGACTTTGATTGATTGCGCTACCCTCGAAGGTGGTGACTGAAAATCAGTGCTTTGCTTTTGGGCAAATTTTGTGCTGAGGCACGACCTGTTTAGCTCGCTGCAGCACTCATATACTGTTGATCGTTATGTTACTATTTTGTTTTTGTGTAGGTATTTTTTTTAATTTCATTTCTTGTCGTTTGTTTTTATTTTATTTTCTTTAATTTTGTTTTGTGTTTAATCCATTTACTGTATTATATTACTGCGTGTGTGATGCAAGACAATAAACGTTTTATCTATCTGTATAGGTATCTATCTCTGAATGTGTTCGCAGGTATCCAAATGCAGGTATCCTACTAAAAAATGCATGTGAAAAAGAAAACAATTGAAATCTAAGCGGGTGTCAACTTCAATTAAAGTTCCTCGAAAGTACAGAACTACTTGTTAAAGGATACTGATAATGTGCGAATTACAATTCTTAAAAAAATCTAATAAATCGTGTAAAAGCCTACTGCTGTAAAAATCTTTATCTATGCGTAACCGATTCGCAGCGGGTAAGCGCTGGAATGACCTGCTGTGTGTGCTGAAATTGGTCGGCGGTAAAATCCCCTAGCAACACCAAATAAATAAAATTTTAGAAACTTCTTGAATACATTTTTTAAATTTTTATACATTTTACATATAGTGCGACACGGACAGCCTCGATTAATTGCCTGGTGTTTAGTATACAGTCCTTTTGCTGGTCTGACGCAGCGATAGGTGAATGGATAGCCATAGGTGAATACGGCAGAGCTGAATCTTCATTCTTTTTGTCCACATTGCTGTTCTTTTATTTTAATTGTTTGCTTACATTCGTTTATGTGTTTTGTGAATAGATAATTGTTTCTTACGCTACAAAATCTTTAACTTTATTCTACTGCACCTATTCTTGGACGAGTACCCTCTTAGTGTTCGTCTAGTGAACGGAACGGACAGTTCGAGTGCGGGCGAGCGGCTTCCTGCGGCTTCGACCTACGTACCTGAGTCGATGGACTGGTGCGCGTGAGCGTGGGCATGCGGAGGGCGAGGGCGGCGGTCGCGCGGCGGCGGACGGCGGGGCGCGCGCCGCTCGTCGGCGGACTCGCCGTCGCTAGAGGCGGGCACGTGCGTGTGCGTGAGATCCGCGACTTCGTCCGCGTCGCTCCGCCCGGCCGACGTCGATCGGAAACGACGTCCGTCCGACTTCGCGGCCTCCGAGTCGTCCTCGACCACCGTGGCGCACTGCACGCCGACGGATCGCCGCCCGCTAACCGCCGCCGCGCTCGCCTCGACGCTCTCGGCGATCGGGTTTGCGCCGCCTTCGACGAAAACGAAACGACCGTTCAGAAATGAAAAGTTTATTCCAGAAACGGTCAGACCGCGTATCGCTCTGTTAAGGCGCATCGACTACTCTACGGGGACCGAAGTCGCGGTGCGACGCGAAAGCGAAAAAGCGGCGCGGACGAACGCGGTACCTGACGGTGCGCTCGGTTCGGCGGCCGTCGAGAGCCGCCGCGGCGAACGAGGGTCGGGAGGAGCTCCCGACGAAGGACGCGACGACTCCGAGCCGAGTCCGCCGCGCTCCTCCGGAATCGCGTCGAACACGCGCTCGAATCGGAGCGAATCTGTGCGCAGTCGCCCGTCGCAGCTCGGCACTGAGGCGCGGCGCGCGGCGTGCGCTGCCGTCGCCGCGGCCGGAGCCGGCGGAGGTGCCGTCGCCGTCGAAGGTGGGGCCGCTCGGACGGCGCCGGCACGCCCGGGGCGGCGCGACTCGTCCGGAACGGGGACGGGTATCCGCGACCTTCTGCATTTCACGCCAGAACCGCACTCGTCCGAAGTGACGTCAGACGAACTGCGCGATACGTTCGCGTACTCGACTATTTCCAATATTTCTATACACTTTTCACCGTCGTGAATCTCCGACTTGCGATACGATCTGCGCGGCGCGCGATCGCGCCGCGGGGCCGGTGCAGGTTCAGGGGCGAGAGCGAGGCGCCGCTCCGTTCGCTGTCGACTCGCGTCGACGGGGGCGCGGGTCTCTTCCCGCAACCGGCGACCGATGCGCGCGCACCGGTATTCTTCGCGAGCGATTCTACTAATGGCATCATCGACGAGAGAGTCGACCAGTGCCGCGCAAGTCCGCTCCACCGCAGCGCCGCGATTGCGGTCGGAGCGCGAGCCACCCGTGCGTCCGCGCCGCGCTACTTCGGCGCGTCTCTCTCGTCGTCGATGCCGACGCTGGAGACGCTTCTTTATCCTCTCCGGCATGCGATCGGCGACCACCAGATTATCCTTTGCACAATCACACTCGTCGTCCTCGAGTCGAATAAAAAAAGATTCGCTTCTATCGCCCCTGGAAGTATTATTTTCCCCGGGTCGATTCGAAACAGTCGAATCGATCCCGAGGGGAAAACGCGGCGAAGAAGGGTCATCTAAACTATCGACGAGACTGGTGCAGGGCGATCCGGCACTGGCACCCGTAGCGGGGTTTGCCTCCGCGGACTGAGGAGGAGGAAACTGTAGATCGCGGTCGTCGGTCCCGCGGCGCCGATCCTCGATCGGCTCGCCCCCTTCGAATAGACTCTGTACTCGTCGCGAGGTCGCACTCGCGTCTCGCTCGCATAATTCTTCGTTTCCGAATATTATTTGGTGGTTAGAAGTCGGGCTCAAATGGACGACCGTGTTCACTCCCGCATTCTGTAACTTTACTTTTATTTCTTTTTCGATAACACTCATGCGACCTTCGGTCGTAGCCGCGATCGTTTCCAGTCGATCCGTAAGAGAGTTCAAGCTTTCTACTAAGATATCGGCCACGTATTCGTCGATGTTCCTTTCCATTATTGACGGTTTAAAAGTGCGCAAGGCCGACGGCGGGGTCGCGCGAACCGCTCGTCGATCTGGTGAGTCGCTGCCGTGGGAAGTCTCGGACACGGCTATTTCCAGCAGATCGTAGGGCGCGTGAGGCCTTGCGGGGAAATCGTCAGTCGGTGGGTCCGGGCTGCGTCTACTTCCGGAAGTGTCGCCGATTGTGGAAGTCTCCCGAAAACGAGGTTCGCCGGCGAGATCGTAAGTTTCCATTATTGGGCGATCGGGTTCTAGGTCGACCGTGTCTCCATCTCCGGAAGGCACGGTCGAACTCGTGCGCGCATATGATTCTGTGTATGGTAGTGGTGAACGGCGCCGTCGTTCCGATGGCCGCGGGAGTCTCACGGCTTCGAGATCAGTGTGCGAGCCGTCGAGCGAACGACTGCCGCAACAGCAGGGAGGGGAGGGCGCAGCGCCCGCGCCGTTGGGGTTCCGGCCCCACATGCGCCGCAACAGCGCACAACGCCGCACCGACTCACGCGCGCCCACGGACCGTTCGTTGGCGCCGCGAGACGGGCTGCTGCCCGGCGAGCGACCGCTGGTCGACGCGCGCTCCGGCTCCGACCACTGTCTCGCTAAGCGGCATCTGGAACACAGGGAGAGAGTGACAAACTATCATTTCAAACATTAAGTCCCACTACTACTACAAACTATAACAACCCACTACAACCCGCGGAGGCGTAGAGTTCCCTACGTAAAATAGGGAAAAAAAATCCACAGCGAGCTTCAACGCTAGGAGAACAAACGAGACTCTAGTAGTGATAATCCAAATGAAAGGTGAAGACGACGCACCGGGCCTCGGCCTGGAAACGCTGCAGGGAGCGAAGTGAACCTCACCTTCTCATTACGGTCTCCGGCACGGAGTATCGGCGACGCAGCAAGCCCGGCGAAGCGGCCACGCGCGACGAAAGTTCTGCGGGGGCGGCTCGGCGCAACATGGCGCCGGCACTCCACCGCTCTTCTCCCTCGCTGCCGATGGCGCTCGAAGTCGACCCACGAACCTCGAAGCTGTGAACGACGATGTTCAGAGTGATCAGATATAATCGACAGAAAGAATTTCTACAGAACCCTTACATACATATTTTTCATCGAGTATCACTCTCTGTGAGGTGTACTAAAACTCGTAAAAAATCCCCAAAATCAATTGCTTCAATAAAACAACGACGCAATCGCATTGCACGTAATGTTGTTACTTCGTACGGCTACCTCTAAAATATAGTAATGAAAGACACCAACATTATATATTATACAAAACCGAAGAACATCCACTTTCAGAATTATAAAACGTGACCACTACTACTAGTCGGAGAGTACTCCACATGAGCGGTTTCTATGCACCGAGCAGTAGTCGAGGCTAATTAGGATAGCATTCGTGATGCGGAACACTCGAGCGCAGGCGCGATGCATTTTTGCATATTTTTCCTAGCCGCGCTCCGTTTGCGCTCGCATAGCATCCGCGACGCGCTTCACTGACTATTACAAACGGCGTTCGTTGATAAACTCTTGAGAGGATCTTTCACGCGAAGCGTTGATGGACAAACATATTCTAATGAGGGTGGGTTAAGTACAACACACATAAACAGCGCATAGTTCATTTATTGCACAGCGCACAGCAGAACTTAGCACACAGCACACCGCTTCACAATTTAGCACAGCTTGGACACAGGCGCGGCCATTTTTTTCCAGAACCATAACACGTGGAGTCGCAACACTGCATCGAAACATTGTCTATAGTGACGTAAACACATCACTATTTTAATTATTTAGTCATACTTCGTTGGCTAAATTCGTATAAAACTCGCAGCCCCAACAAAATTAAAAACAGAATTACTAGAAATAAAATTAGATATATGACAATCTATGATGATATACCTTTATTTTATAAATAAAAGAAGGTCTACAAATTATACATATGTTGCATTAATCGCCCGATACTACGCTTGAAGAGTGCAAAAGGGATTTTGTCCAAAAACGCAGTTAGGTACCTATGACGTTTTAAAATTGAGCCGAGTTGAATTTCTCTGGTTTACTTAAAGGTTATACAAATCCTTTCAATCGTCGATAGTCCTTGACCGCGGAACGCAGGCACAAACACAGACGTGCTGCCCTACACATTGCAGATACGGACAAAAATAGCGACGCAGTCACTCAGACTCGTGGTAAACCCGACCGCGACCGAGACCGCGACCACGTTAGGCGCGTGCAGGAGCAATGCAATCATCTTGCATTGCACGCGAGATAATCTTACCAAATTTACACAATGACTCACATAACGACATAGTGTACGTCCGGTCATGTGTTATAGGTACGTGTAAAGGGAAATGACAATCAAACTGCATAAACACACTTTCGGTTATGTGAAAAGGCGGAGCGCAGCAACGCGACGGCGCGCGGCGGACGACATGTTTATATTTAGGAAGATTCAGCGCAGCGGCGCGTCGTCGCCACCACCAGACGACTGACGCCGGCAATATCGACAGATCAACAGAGAACGTAGGTAGGTACTTACCATCGAATTATTTGATATAATTAGTCATATATGCAAATACGTAGTTTTCGAACTCTTCGGATGATGTTAGTTGTTCTGTTCAGAACGTCTACACTCAAGTTCAAATTTTTTACACGGAGAACATTATGAAGTTCACAGCGTTTTAATCGCTTAACTATGGTGTGTGCGTAGGTACGCATATACGTATGCTACACGACGCGTCTCGGTGTAAGTAAATTGCGTTCAGTTATCATGGGCACAAGGAATTGCTGTGCGTGGACAGGTATTATTTCGCCTCGAACGCATGTTATACCTGCTGTTGTCTACTTCCTAATGTCAATAAGTGAAAAGATCTTACCAGCAAAAAGCACGAGGAGCCGCGCGGCGATCGCACTGACTCACCACAACAAGTGAGATGCGCGAGAGCGCTCGCGAGCGCCGGAACAGACGGCGGCTGCGCAAATACGCGGTCCCTGTCCTCCCTCCCGCCCGCACCGACAACACTCGCGCCCCGCTCATCCTCTGACTCTACTTTACACATGCCTCAACAAGCACACTCACAGTTTTTCAGATAGTTTCTCATCGCTGGATAGCAGTATTGCAATACACACAATTACGAGCAGAAAGATTAAATTCACCCGGGAGCATACGGCGAGGCTGCATTTGCAACATTAGCGAGGCAGTGCGTTAAGCGCAAAAGCTTCAATGTATACGTGTGCAACTTACACCATAAATATTGTAGCGTAAGTATACTATAGTGATATTAAAACTAATAAAAAAGTTACCAAATGAGCACGAGTTAAATTTAGCACTATCTTAAAATACTCCGGATAATTTTATCACTTTCATGTTAAAATACGATAGTAAGAAATTTATTGAGTGGCGCTGGCGAATGGTATGTTAACAAGACAAGCAATATGAAACTCAAAAACAATATAATTAGGTCTCCGTCGTTAATTAGCTGGCGGCGGCGGGCAGCGTGCAGTCGGCGTGCGAACGTTAGCTGTCGGCCCCGTCAGTGGTCACACGATAGTGCAATCGGTCCAACCCTTCCGCCACTCTACCGAACTTCCGCTTCTTGTTTGGGTACGAGCAGTTGCACCCGCTCTCCTGCCACTTGGCTCCCATACTTAAAAACCCCTGGGTCTTTCTGTCTGAGCTGCCAAGATATGCTGGTGCTCGTGGAAGGATATCTCCTAGAACCTATACTAGGGTACCTATTCTGATATCCCTACCGAACATCAGTCCATATGCACTGAGACCTGACCGACTGGGCGTCCGTCTTAGTTGAAGTTGAGCCTTTATAAAGTATAGTTTACGATTGTGTCTTAAACTAAAGACTAGTAATAATTATGAAACATAAAAAGGCATATCTACTCCTCTTTTGCTCGCTTCTAGTTTTGTTCAAATTAGCCTGCAAGGAGCGCATCAACGCTGCTCATTCGTCTAGGTATATGCCTTTGGTAAACAGGCAAGCAGCAGACAAAACATAACAATGATTGTCGTCTCACCGGGTAATGGTGTGCGGCGGTGGCGTCCAGCCAGCGCGCAGCGCGCCCAGTGTCGCCAGCAGCGATCCCGCGCGGACTCCGGCTCCTCCCGCGCCTCCTGTGGCACCTGCGCGCAAAGCGAATGTCAATTTTGAAACGCAAGTCGGCTATTCTCAGCTCCGGCAAATTAAACCAGGGTTTGCATTAAAACATCAGGCACGACTATCGGACAACATTGTTCCTCTGCCTCTTCTAATCAGTGCTAAAGTTACTCATTCCAGTTCAGTTGAAACATGAAAAAATCAGAAATGTAGTCAGATATGGAAGGGTGGGTTATATTAAGTACCTAAACTGGAGCGTGGCGAGTCGAGACCATGTCGAGACCGACGGGTTCCCGGTGCACTCTGTGATGCGACGTGTGTCGCCGCCGCCGCCGTGCCTACTTGAATTACCTACCTGCTCCTATTATTCGTATTATATAATAACATACAATGTAAACTGTAGCAGTGCTTGCAGCACGTGAGACTGTGGCCAAGCGTGCGTCGGTTTTTATAAAAATAAAATAATAGCGTGTATCTGAAAAGATTCGGGTCATAAGATTCCGGGTGTTATTCAAAGTTTGCCTTTTCCGAGGTTTAAAACATTACTCAAACAAAAACTACGTATGAAGGTCATTTATTCTTCTTACGTACCTTCTGCTTTTTTGTGTGACAACAATCCATGGAAGTGACCCGTTTAGCTTTATATTTATTTGTTTACTACTTGTGCCCGCTACTTCCTACGCGCAAACACACGACACTTACGGATCCTACTAATATAAATACATAAAAAGGAAACTCTATTGGCTGGTACACACATTCCCCACCATACTACATCCCCACTACATATATTCAATGATGTACGTACAACCGAACCGTCGGGGATTAATTCATAGATTTCCTAAGTTGCTTGCAGCATCTGACCATGCGATTTTATTAAATAAAGTTTTTGTCCTCAGTTTTATAAAAAATCATTTATTATCACACCAATTCGTCCATATTTGTTAGAAACAATAATGTCATGCGCTAAGTTCGTAGAAACAAGGAGGAACAATTATAATAATAATAATAACATGTGGGATGTGGCCTCCACTGAAATAATCCCAATTGTTTTGTCCGCAAATGGGTTAATTCCAGTCAGCCTTTCTAACAGCTTGAGGCGGTTCGCCGGTTCTTAGACCTGAGTCCCTGGCCCCGGCCGACGGTGCCATTGCCTGTGCAAATGTAGGCCTGGGACCTCTGCGTGGCAGTTCGGCATGGTAACTGTTCGGTCACGGAGGCAGTTAATGATTTAAATTAAATCATTGTGTCAACGTGTAACACGACAACGTGAACCTACAGAAGACAGCCGAGTCCATTCTTCATGCTATCCTCCTCAGGATAACATTGGTGCTACCACGCAGTTGCAACATCTGTGACGCATTTTCTTGCGCAGGAAATTCGCAAAAAAAATGCTCACCTGAGCACCACCTGCGCACGCGTCCGCAAACATAGGCGTTGCAAAGGCGAGGAAGCGAAACAGAACCCTAAAGATGTTGTTGTACATTTCACATATGACGTTGTAAGTCAGTTGTGTGAAATTGGTCCACATGTATAAAAATTCCGATCACCTAGGAAACCTCAGAGCCAACATGACACCGCGCACCGACAACGCGCTGCGCTTCGTCTCAACATCATCATGATCTCCAGACATTGATTTAATAAATTGTGCTAAATACTTAAGAGATACGATTCAAGGGTACGCCATTTGGAAGGAGCGGTGGAAAATTATTTAGCCCTTCATGTTTAAACCCAAGAAACTAGCTCTTCTTTTCATTGTTGAAACCTAACTCAATGCCTCACGGCATAAAATATATCTTAAACTTTCAGCATTTTTCTCAGGCCACTGATCGATTGACTTAGCAGCACAATATCATCGGCATAGCTGATATTATTAACACTAAGGACGCGTTCCCACTATTTCGTGACGACAGATAGTCGTGCAGTTTACAGTGTCGCGACCTGTATATTTAAATGAAGTTGTTCACATATACATAGAACGACACGATTAACTGTCGTACCCCGCGCCCTCGGCTCGCTTTGCAATAGCGTTGGGTCGGAGCCGGTGATGGGCCCGGGTTTTAACCTGGCGCTTTGTTAACGCCGGGTTTAAATCGGGTTAAGCCCCATAAATACCCGAAATCGAGCGCAATAGTTATTTGTTCAACAAGAGAGCAAAGCCGTTTTTTGGTGCGAGTGCTGTTTTTGAGTCCTGAGCAAGCGAAAGATTCTATAGTTGAATCACGAGCGTAGCGAGTGATTCAGAATTAGAATCTTGAGCGAAGCGAGGGACTCAAAAATACGAGCTGCAAAATAACTTTGCTCTCGCGTGATACATACAACTTTTCACCTCAGCAGCGAGAACATATATATATACTAAAGGGACAAGTAATAAAAACACGTCATGAAAGCAAATGCATCATTGTATATTTACAAAAATACAGAATTTAAAAAAAATTAAAAGTGGAACGTGAAGTTTGTACAATTCTGTAGATTAAAAGTTACTGTTTTATTTGGAACAGTAATCGTCGTAGTGTTTGCTACTTGAGTAGTGGTCGAGGTTTCATTATGAGTTGAGCTGGATTGTGACCCTTCCCGCACCGTAAAAGTTGGTGATTCTGGGCGGGTTTGGGTATGATTCGCATCACTGGAGGTGCTAGGTTGTGCCCAAGAATGCGAAGTCTGTTTTAGGTTTATCGAATCTATAATACGTCTTTAATTGACGTTATAAATTTAGCATATTTTTATTGCAACACTTGCTTTATTTTTAATGAAAATTGTAAAAACTAAATTATCATAGTATAAAATCGTATTTGTATTTCTCACATAATTTATCTTTTAGATGAATTGACGAGTTTCCGAACGTGCACTCGTTCAGCCATTTTGTGGGGGTCTACTATGTAGCTTAAATATCGAAGTACGAATAAACCATAATTTTCTTTTTCCTTTTTCTTGTAATGAAGTGAAAGGGACGGAGCGACTGATTTTGAAATATGTCGAATTTGTATTAGACCCCTTCGCATTAAATGACAAGTCTCCACTTAAAAAGCAAAAAGCTACTTTCTCTCACGGGAGTGAGCAAAATAAGATTTTGCTCAGTGATTTCACACAGCAAAATAGCCTTGTTCGAGCTGCTGAGGTGAAAAAACTATTTCCAACTAAATATTTGTTGTGAATTGAGTTTTGTTCAAATTTAATTAAACGTATTATTACAAAATAATAAATTCTTAAATAGTAACAAGGGTACTAGGTATACAGCAGTTTAGTAGCAGTAGAGCTCCTTGTGAAAGAGTTCGTCCAGGGTAGCGCTTAACTGCCATTTTACCTATTTCTGCCGTCAAGCAGTAATGTTAAGCATTACTGTGTTCCGGTTTTGAAGGGTAACGGTTCTGGTGAGATAACAGGCACACGCGACTTGTTAACTTATGTCTCAGGGTGATGGGTGCAGTGACAGTGCCCCTCAAATCGTTGTGATTTCAAGCTCTGAGTGGCACTGTAACTGATATGGACAGGCGTGTAGCGTGTAGCTTACCTTCAGTCCCGTCACTTGCTATGTATACCTAATTGATGATGTTATTTACATTTCTGCACATAACTATGTTTAAGTTACATTATATTTAAATGGGTGTGCTTCACTTGTGACAGATTAAAAAAAAACTTAATTTCATATACTTCTCGTTTGATATAATATTCAGATTTTTAAAAACATTTTATATAAAGCTCTTATTATGTAACAATAATTTCATTTATCCGTACCTGAGAAGTATAACACTGTACCGGGTTCGATTCCTTAGTTTTATTTTCCGTATGAGGGTAAAAAATGAAACCAATAAATCCGAAAATTGAATTCATTATAATAATTTTAAAAAAAAATTACAATTTAAAATTTAAATTTAAAAAAGGTACATAAATTTATTACAGGTCGTGGTAACGTGCCTTAAGACTTTAGGCTTTCTGCTTCCGAGTATGGTACTCCCCTGTATATTTGCCGGCGCAAGAAGGGCCGCAGGATGAGCAGCAATTGGTAGCCGTTCCGCGTATGTTGTTACGTCCTAGTCCGGACGTAGTCAAGCTCCAGGTGTAAGGTAACTATTATCCCGAAGGTACCTTTCCAACCCGAAGGTAACTTAATCCGAAGGTAATTCCTGCAACGGACAACAACTGGTAGTAACAGACCTTTTGCCTCCGTTCTGAAAGCCCACAGACGGCAAAAGAGAATTAGAAAAGCACCGTAGTAGCAATTGCCGGTGGCGCGACCAGAACGGAGTTGTAGTTTAAATTGTGTAAAAATAGAAAAATAAAGAATTTAGGTAGTAAGGCTGAAGGCCGAGACGTTTGCTTAGTGCTAGAAAAGAATAAAAAATAAAATAAGCCAAAGAAAACAACGTCTGGCGAAAAAGTATAATTACATTTGATCATTGCAGTTTGAAATTTTGATGATGCAATCTTCAAAATGTCTCAAAGCGTATGGTACTATGGTTCAAATTTACGTTGTTGTTATATATATATATATACAACAACAATATATATATGTATATATATATATATATATAAACGTGCTTTGAGACATTTTGAAGATAAAAGCGTTACAAGTGTTTTGTGTGTCATTCAACTTACCCTAAAGCGGGAACTTTCACTTTCACAACTGTTTAAGTACGTTTAATGTGATGGGAAGCAATAATCTTCGATTTACAATAAAATTTTGGACATTTAAAATTGCGTAACGGATTTTTTATATCGGGAGCGCGGCAGAGCCGAGCGTGAAATGGCACTGAAGTCGTTCTGACGCTGTTTGAAGAGCCTGACCGCGCCGGCGCCGGTTACCGCGCTCCCCTCTCTGCGTCCGTCATTATTCGACTACTATTTCGAATGCAACGTAAGCTGCCATAGATTTAAGCATATTTGTCAATGGTATATCGTGGTTTTAATGTTTTGTAATCAATTATCATTTAAAAATATGGTATATTTATTGAAGAAATATTTGTGTTCAATTTTTAATACCGTTAAATTTAAAAAGATTTATTCAAAAATAGTTTAACAACGTTGTAAC